ATATATATATATATATATATATAATATATATATATATATATATATATTGTATACAAGAATACGTATTGCCATGCATATGATGATTTTGTTTTTCTGTCGTATCTATACCAGTCAAGTACGTGCGGACTACTCTGACTATAAATACAAACCCAGTATAAAGGATACACCGCACAAACAATAACCTGAGAGACAATCGGCATATTTACGCACGACTCAGATCTTACACGGCCAATAATTGAAAGATAGCAAGAGTAAGTGATCCGTTATAAAAGTCAGTCCAGGAGAGCTCTCGTTGAAGAGATTCCACTTGCACAGCCACCCATGTCGACACAACTTACAAAACAACGGGCACAAAGGTGTAGAACTTCCGTGCGATAGTCCACTGTCTTTCGTAATCTAGCTGCTCCCAGTATGTCATCCTGTTGTATCTGTAGATGTGCAAGATAGGAGAGCGGGAAAGAGTTTCATAGACATAGCACGCCCATGTAAGATCTTCTTGTTTCTAATCCGCGGGAATTTGTTAATCAAAGGAACTGGTCACCACGAACGATACCGATACTTTGGTATTGTGTGATCAGTAATGAGCTGCCTGTCAATTCACTGTAAGCGTATGCGTAGTAGTCCACAGTCGTCGCTGATGCTGCTGCAACTATTAATTCGATAGCATACTCCAGACGCGAATACCTCTCGGTCGAATTGGATTACTATGTGGATATACTCTCTCGGTCGAATTAGATTACTATGTGAATATACACGCATTCGTAAGTGAGGGTTGATGCACATTATAGTGAAAGTGCATTCATCTCCTGGAACTATTCAGATGGTGTGAAGTATAAATATATGCGGTCCATCACCGCTAGAAGCACATACGATCGATTCATTTTACCTCTTGTGAACGCGTGCCTTGTATACATATCTATACAAATGACGTACGCAATACGGATGTGAGAACGCAAACACATGCACATCCAAACCAACACGTACTTGCAAACAATATAAATATTGAACATATATACATATACATGAATGATATGTGTATCTATGTATATGAATCTATATATATGATGTCGCGCCTATTGGTAGACAATTATATGCGCTGAATCTGCCTCCTATACAATTTGTACAGAAACGCCAGTAGAGAAAGGTAGGTTTGCTTACCGTCCCTGGTCTTGATCGAACGGCGTGCCCTTTATTTGATGGAAAACCAAGTACGTTATCTGCAAGTAACAAAGTAGAATCGGATAAGTATTTATAATAGATATCAATACGAACCAGTCACATACCGTAGCAGCACCGACATGGGCACAGCTTGTGCTGACAATACAAAACAAGTTGTCGTAAACTAGATTAGCAAATCAGAAGTATTCCAAACACGTGAAAAAGATTAACGTGCGGTGTACATCACCGCATAGCCTCTGGATACTGTAGGTGCACCAGGCTCTTTGAACTAAATTATCAAGTACTGTTCGGTACCCGCGAGAAACACTATGACAGTGTGCGCACGAAAACTTGGGGCGATCTCTCAACACAAGGGAGAGACTTTGACAATCCCGGGACGTGTAGCACATCGCCGGTGATGGCTACACGACTATGGTTTAGCAGCAAACCCAGTCTCAAACCACGTGCACAGACGCTCCATATGACTTACAGCATTGTGCGCTGTGTTGACTATGGTCCATCGAACTGCTGGTTCCTCTGTGAAGGCGCCGGTGATCAAATAGCCCAGCAGCACCAAAAAAGCGCAGATAGCAAATGAGCCTGCAAAAACGAGTATGAAATCGCAATGAATAGAACGCCCTTCGGTTAGGTTGAACATAACCGGCCAGGGTTAGGTTTATATCAGTCGACTAAATTGAAAGGATGATGGTACACAAAGGTGGCTTAAGCCTGCATTCGACCCGTGGAAAGACGATCTCTCTCTATATTTATATGTATATCTATATATATAT